TCATCCTTGCGCTGACGCACTTGCCAATTGCTCAGGACAAGAAACTTGCGCGCCAAGTACCTGGTATCAACTTGATACTCGGCGGACACGACCACGAACCGGTCACGATGTACGAAGGCAAGACGCTCATCCACAAGTCGGGACAGAATGCGTTCTGGCTGGCCAAGCTCGAAGTTGAATTGAAGCGGTCTACCCGACACCCGGAACGAGGACTTGTCGTCTTGCCGCAATGGAGCATGACTGCAAACGCGTATTTGCCGCCGCAACCAGCGTGCCAGCAAATTCTGTACAAGTACATGCACGAAATGGCAAGCGAAGACGACCCACAGGAAAACGAGCGCGTGTTGGCTACGTTAGCAACCCCTTTGTCGACGCGCACAGCACTGTTACGAGCTGGCGAGAGCAGTGGCGGCAATCTGGTCGCAGATGCGCTGCGCAGTGAACTAGTCGCTGATGTGGGGTTCATCAACGGAGGCTTTATCCGTGGCGACACCGAGTACCCAGCCAAGTCCAGCATCACAGTGGGCATTCTGAAGCACGAGATGCCATTCCCGCGGCACGCTGTGTTGGTGCGCATCAAAGCCAGCGACCTGCGCGACGCCTTGATCCAGCACTTGTCCAAGTACCCGCAGCAAAGTGGGTCGCACCCTCACGTCTCGGGACTCGAATTAGTGGTCGACATGCGGTCCGAGCCAGCGGCGCTCGTCACAAAGATGGTCGACGACAGTGGCGAGTCGATAAACATGGAACGGCAGCTCCTCGTGGCTACTTCCAAGTTTGTCGCGGACGGTGGCGACGGCTGCTCGTCGTGGCGCAAGGGTGAGGTCGTGCGCGAGGCGGGCAAACTCCCCGAGGTCGTGGCCGAGTTTATGCTGAAGAAGCGGTTGCTGGCATACCCAGCGCACGAAGGCCGCGTCACGATCCTCGAGTGACTACCGACGAGCCGAATAATGTGCCACGAGGTCCATAGCGATCTGGCTTGGCTAGCGATCAGTCCCGTGGCAGTCGCGTCCCTGTGGCCGGTTTGCAAGCCACTCTACCGATCCACAGGGCAATGGGTGGGCGAGCAGTGCCCGCGAGCTCTCGACACGTGCAATGGATGGAGCAGAGCCTGGCCATGGCGCAGAAGAGACCGACCAATTGCACTCGCCGAGAATGGACAGCTCTCGTGACTGCAGCAATCGATGGGCGCAGCGAGCGCATGTTTACGAGCGTAGCTACTGGTCGTTTGCAACGTCAGTAGGTGCGTGACGACGGCGGTACTGAGACGGTAAAAGACTGGATGTTGCAAACGGGGGGAGTTTGTAGGCAGTAAAACTGATTGGAACGTCGTCACGCGCTGTTTGCTGTGTCTGCTGTTGTTGGTATTGTTAATGTCGTTGGTCGATGTTGGTAGCAGCCGACATGTACGGTATGTTGCCTCTCGTTCCTGTGCATCGACAGAAAGCCGGTTAACAAAGCGGGTTCGTCAACATATCGCCCTTGCGCGGCCACAGGCTTGATCGGTCCGGATGCATTCACGCGTGCAAAGACAGGCGAGTCTGTTCGCACAGTATAGAAACGACCGTGCGATGGGGCGGTCTTGGCGTTTCTATTTTCGTTATCCTGTCGTTTCGCGCGTTGCACGGCGCTCCCACAGCATCGACCGTCTCTTTGTCGTGCTTTCACCCCACCTTATGCTGCGTGTCGCTACCGGTCTGTCCCCAATGCTGCTCCTGCCACTTGATCGTACCGGTAGTCGTGGCCACGACCATGCGCACTTAACGACCGCCGGACGCGTTGATTGGCAAATAACTACTCCCACCTGCTTGATCGTCTGACTTCCGGCTTCCTAATCACACCGTCGGCCTTCTTCGGTGCACCACGCGATCAGTCAATCGAAGCGCAGCACGTGCACTACCAGTACGCCACTGCACTCGCCTTCAGTTGCTCCAGATAGCGAGTGAACAGACGCAGCCATCTGCTCAGTCGTTGCACTGCTTTTCGCAACGCCCGTGTCGCTCTGTGGCGATCAGTGTCCACGCACGTTCCGTTTTCTTTCGTGCGGTACAGAGCGAGAGAGGGAGAGAGAGAGAGGTCAGACGCTGGTAGTAGTTGTGAGTACCCACTGACGGCTGTGTCTTTTTTGTACCATGTGGTCGCATGGAAAGGATGCGCTGTTGACGCTGTCGGTTGTTGATTGTGTGTGTATTTTGGCAGGGGCCAGTGTCGCAGAAGCATCGACGCTCGAGCTATTGACCGAACCTGTTGGAGCACAGGCGTCGACAGCGAGCTGGAAACATGCGCGCGTGGCGCGTTGCAGCCGCGTTAGGTGTCAGTCTGCCGTCTTTGGTTTGGCGGCACGCTCGAGGTTTGTTTGTCTTTCGAGTGTGCTGCGTTGTGGTTGTCTGCCTGCTTTGCTGGATAGTGGGAACGTCCAGGAACTCATCTGACGTGACGTACTTGTTGGTGCTGCTTTGTTGTGACTTTGGTGCACGGCAGTCACAGCCGAGCCATGTGACGAGATCTGCTACACGACCGAGTTGACAGGGTTTGGACCGGGAGGCGCTGCTGGATGCAGTTGCAGCGGCGCGCGTGCGACGCGGTCGGGACCTGGAGGCTGCAGCTGTGGCCAGTGCTACCATGAGACGAACGGAGCGGTCATTGGCTATGCTATCAGCAGTGACGGCACGTGCTCATATGGCACGGACTGTGGTGACTGCACGCGCTCGCCGGTTACGCCTGATGCTGAGACGAACGCACCGTCTCCAGACTCTGACACTCCCAGTGTGACGACACCACCGACGCCATCAAGGGCGACGCCAACCGAGCCATTGAGCCCTACGCCCGCGCCCATTCCGCCGCCTAGTACTCCGCCTCCTCCTCCTCCTGCTACTGCTGCTACAGAGCCGACGACAGGTACTGGCAAGGGAGACTTGATATTGTTGACGATACGAAGCGGAGAGTATGGTGTAGTGCGGTCGCTCTGACCGCTTGCTTGATGTTTTCTTTGCTGCTGTTGGTATGTGCTGGGATTCGCTCTCTCTACTGCGTTCGCATCGACTTGCGTGGGTTCGTGGCTCTCCTTCTACGGTAATGCTTTGCTAATGTTGGTTTGTGTTTGCTACTGCTTGGGCGCTGGGCTGTGTGTATTAACGCTTTCAGACGCACCTCTAACTGCGCCTCCTGCCCCTGCTCCAGGTGCTTCGTTGGACCCGACACCTGCACCTCCGTTAAACTTGGGAACTTCGTCGGACGCGCGACCGGAACTGCCTTCGGTCTCGCCATTCGACCCGCCGTCGAACTTGCTGCTTGGACTGCCGTCGACCGCATCGTCTGGAACCTCTTTGGACTTGACGTTCGGAACTTCCCCGTCGACCACAGATAAAAACAACACCCCGCCCGCAACAAGCGCATCGAGCAGCTCGGCCTCTGGCTCGCACGACGCTGGCAAGACAGCTGGTAGCTCCGATTCCGCGACATGTAAGTAGCGCATGTTGGTGACGGCGCTGACGAACGGCTTGACTGACGGTTTGCGGGGTGGGACGTTTTGTATGCACAGCCAGCGACAAAAGTATTGAGACGTGGCAGATCGCGCTCATCATTTGCTGTGGTGTGTTGGTCTTCACGGTAGCAGTTGTGTCGGTGCTCTCATGTTACTGCAAAGCACGGAACCGACTGAACGAGAACGAGGACGACCGAGCGGATGCCACCTACTACCAGCAGCAGTACCCGCGCCAGCGCGACGACGGTGTTGGATTAGAAGGCGTGGCCACGCCTGCCATGTTTTCGCAACGACCAGCGAGTTCTTATTGTCACGCACGGTCCGGGAGCTCTGGCAGCTTGACAAACGAAACGAAGCTCATGTACGCTAGTTCCGCCAACAGCGGTAGCTCCGATATGCTGGGCACGGGACTCTTGCCCGTTCACAAGCGCACTAGCTCGGGTGGTCCGTTCGGATCAGTCGGTAGCTGTACGACGGACTTTCGACCGAGTGCGAGCAACGTATCAGTCGGACGTCAACTTCGGCCAGAGCAGACCTGCAGCTCAGCACGCCAGGCCGACGTGGAACTATAGCGGTCACGGTTCGCGGTCGAGACTTGCTGGCGTGAAGTTGTCGTGATCACGAGTACAACGCGCGCATGACGTAACACAACCCGGCGAGCAGTGGTAGAGCGGACAGCAGCGGGTACAAAAGCCGCGGTGGCATACTGGAAAGCATGTCGACGACAGCATCGAAAAGAGTCCGATTGAGTCGCTTCCGCCGCCCGTGCATGACTCGGCTCGCAGCGTCTGGAACAGGAGACGATGCCAAGGGACATGTGCTGCATCTCTCTTGCCGTCGTCTCGTACGCCAACCGTTTGCATCTCAAATGGACAGAGAGCGCGAACCGGTGTTTTGGACGTTGCAACGAGGTTGACAAGAAGTTGTATAAATGTACATGTGGATCTACTGCTACTGCTGCTGCAACGGCTGCTACTGGCGAAGGTGTGCGGATCATTTCATGGAAAGAGCTGTTCTCAAGGGCGTTGTGCGAGGCCGTGTGTCAACCGAAGTGCGAGACGCTCATCGAGGCGTTGCAACACCACTCGAGGGGTCGATCGGTCACTGCTAACGGGACGACCGCCACGCACGTGTGTCCATTCAAAAGTATCTGCAACATCCTGTTTAATCCTTTCCGCTTCTTCGTCGCCATCCAATCGATCGATCGATCGATCGATCGACTGACTCACTGACTCACTAATTGACTGACTGAGTGACTACTGCTGTCGGTTTTGTCGGTATTTCCGTCTGTCGGTCTATCGTCAACTGGTCGTTCGGAGCCCTTTTTGTAAAAGTACACAAAAGTACGCATGACAAGACGCAGTTTTCGGCTGCTCGTCACAATTGATTGACGGACAGCTGGTGCGGGTCAAAGTGTCGCTTAAGTAACCCCACTCCACCGTCTGTCACTTCAGCCAAGCAAAGCGTCAACAGGTCGATCAATCAATCGATCGATCGATCCACGAGTCAGTCCATCATGGGCAGCTCCGGGAAGAAGCGCCGCCGCGCAACGAGCGCCAACAGCGACGACGACGTCCCTACGCAGCGCACGATAGTCGCGACTGACGCATCCGACGTCGACACTGCCCGTTCCGTCGCCCCGTGCGCGTCTCCGGTCGCGCGTTGTGGCCCCACCTGGCCGCAACCGCAAGGGCTTTCTGGCCCAATCGCAATTGAGCGAAAAAGACCGACGGCACGTGCGGTACAAGGAGCGCGAGCTCTTGCAGAGCCTCAAGGAGAACGCGAGCGACCTGGCCACGCTGTCGAGCGACACGTTCGACGTGCACACGCAGGAGCTGGACCACATGTACGAGCACGTGTGCTACCCGCGCGAAGCCAATTTGGACGCTAGTAACCTGGACGAGCTCAACGTGGCAGTGACGAAACAGTCGCAAGCGCTGGGTTCGAGTGACTTGACCAAGGTAGGTGAGGCGGGGGTGGTCTAGGACGGCCGTGGGGTTGCTGTGGGGTTGGTTTGCCGTATCGTTTTGGTGGTACTCACTTTTTTCGGACTTGATGTGTTTTCGTGGCGTCCCTTTTGTGGCAATAACTGGGCTTGCTGCGTGTGTACTGGGGACGGCTGCTGTGCTGTTTGTTTGTTTGTTTGTTTCTTTTGTTTGCTTTTGCTGGATGGCAGTACGAGACGACCGAGCTGATCCGCGCGACGCGCGAGGTGTGTGTGAAAGAGTCGCAGCCTCAAGATTTTGACTGGCATGCGCTGGGAAATGCAGCAGGAGCGTGTTTTCGATCGGTGCCGGAAATCGTTTCTTGTACGTCGTGTGTTGGCGACGAGAGACTGGTTTGATGCGTTTGTTGGTCCAGACGAGCTGACTTTTGGTTGTTGTGGGGTGGTGGTTGACGTGGTTGTTGTGGTGGTGGTGGGGGGGGTTGTTTGTGGTGGTCGTAGGTTTGGACTAATGGATACGGAATGATAACGTAAGGAGAGTGAAAAAGTCGAGACGAGTGCAAGATGATGTGAATGCTCAAGAAGCACAGCCGACGGAGTATACGAACACGGGTTGAGATTTAAGACGGTTGCTACAGGCTTCGGCTTACAGCGGTGGTTAACTCTACGACGGCTGGCGGATTTTTGCAGATTGTAGAAGGACCGTAGAGACGCACAGGCGCGACGGTTGGAGGTGCTGCAGTCGACGTTGATTCAGCACGAGAGCCGTCAACCGCTGTTTGATATGGTGATCAACCCGAAGAGCTTTACTCAGGTGCATCTGGACGTCCACCTCGACCAGCTTTGATTGGCAATCGCGAGCTAAACCTATCTGTTATCCGTCGTGGTGATTGTGATTGTATCGCGTTACAGACCGTTGAAAACCTGTTCGACACGCGTTTTTGTGAGCAACAACTCTGCTGAGATCGGCGTCGACGAGGACACTGGCCTTCCGTATCTGAGTAAAGGGTTTGGATGTGTTCCGATTATTGACTGCTCGGCTTACTGACGCAAGTGGGATCCTGTTTGCAACGACAGGGAATCAGGAAGGAATGGGTGAAGCCAACATACCGGCGTCGACACAGAGTATCATTAGCATCACGCCCGGGTCAGGCGGCAGCAGCTCGCACAAATGACAGGACGAGATGAACCCACATGCTGGGTCACCGGTCATGGAAGCTACGAAGAAGCGTCTTCCAGTTACTGGATCACGCGGCACCAACATGCTTACTCATCTGTTTGTTGTCAACATGGCTCTGTGGCTGCTCATGAATATCGTGCTGTAATCGGTATGCCGAAGATGAGGCGTGTCTGCTTTGCACCCAACTGCGCACATACTGTGATGCTTGTGTAAGGTGATGCAAAAGGTAGTGACGGAGGACTGTTCTACCCTGTTTCGAGAAGTACCTGTATCGCTGTCGTCTGTAGAACACGGAGATGGCACCGTTGGCTGGGCTCTGACAACGTGTGGTCGGAGGGTAGTAAGCAGAGAGACCGAATGCGATCGAAGCTGCGCATCTGCTAGACGTTTGGTGCGGTCGATGCGCTTTGGCGACAGCCAGCATCTCCGCCCTGCTAGAAGACAAGCTGCAACGGATAGTTCCGTGTCACTCTCAAGCGTTGCATGTGGTATTTCGCTTTCACTTGTGCTTCAGTGGTGGCGGCGTCGACAATGGGACTGCTTGTGTTCGTCTAGAAGGTCGGTAAGGACGATGTGGACGAGAGCAGCGTCCAGATTGGGTCATTATCGTCGGTACCGATCACCACTTTTGTCGACGAACGCACAGCGACGACCGCCGCGATCAGACGTTATCGTTGATCTTCAACAGGACCGATGTCCTTGACGCAGAATGATCGGCGGCGCTTCACTTTTTTCAGACAACGTTTCGTCTGCAAATGATGGAGCGGATGTTCATGCATGGTAGACGTCATACCATACCGGTGTGCAGGGTGCACCAGCGGCTTTTCCGCACACGCCGTTGAGTGAGGCGTGACCGACGTGAATACCAGCGCTCAACGCGACACCGGCGAGAGCGGAGATTTGTCCATGGAGAGTCGATCAGTTGGGCCGTACGCTTTAGCATACGTCGTGTTGGCACGTTTCCACCGGACCTCCAAATAACGTTGATGGCGATGGGCATGAAAGCAAGCAGTCGGCTGGCTAAGTGTGGTATGTGAATGTAGCCTCTCACGGGTGGTTTGAAGTCGAGCCCGGAGACCTCTCCCGAGAATAACAGTCATGAGGGTTGCGGCCGTGGTTCAGCTCTTCGCGTTCGCTAACGTGCACTTGGATGGATCTGGATGAAGTTGCCAGTTGTAACGGGTGACCAGCGGGTCAGGGGGCAATATCGCGTAGGCACGTTCTGTTCACCCAAATCGAATGTGTGGGCGCGCGCCGGGTCTGGTACTGGCGGCTGTAAAGTTTGTGCGTCTGGTGGCGAGAGGAGCGTGGTGTAGTCTGCGTCTCTTGTAGAAAGCTGGCCAGTACGTCGAAATGATGAGTCGCAAACGCTGGCCTGAAATGATCGTGGATAGGGACATACAGTCAGGTTGCTAGCCGTGCAAGATGATTTACGCGAGCCTGCTTGTGCAGA